CCGTTTTCATCTTCATCCCATTTTATATTTCCCACCCTATCCTCCGATCTATCTTTGTGGCAGCTTTAACTTCTCTGCTGGCAAATCTCGTCCATTCTTTGCAGCAATAGCAGCCTTTTTTCCTTTGTATTTACTTCACACATAGTGTGATCAAACATCTCTCTACCCAATTTCATGTGGCTGAAGACAAAAAGCCCATGAAAAACAATATAATAAAAAAGTAACAGGAGTAAATGGGAAAACAATTCTCGAGTGGGCCATGTGTGTGTTCCTGCCAGACGAGGCCATCGATTGATGGGACTTTTTTCTACTCTAGACTACATAATTTCAAACACAACTGGGAAGAGGACAATCATATTTTGCCAGGCTGTAATATATCATCATGGCGAGCTCCAAGTGTAATACATACCAGCTTCAGCAAGCCAACTAGTCAGGGAAGAGCCACTGTCTCCAAACATCAAGTGGCATTTCTAACATAAGATAGGTAAACAAGAAATAATCAGTGCTAAGGGTATGTTTTTAATGTCACATGTCTTTATTCACCAGTCACAATAGCTTGTGCTCCACTTCAAGGCTGCCTAAAAGCGTAGAGAGTACAGGAGGTGGCTTAATGGAGGTGACTAGTCTCCTCCGGCTTCATCACTAGCCATGTGAGGGATGATTTCCTTTTTGTTATCCTGTCCCATACGTCCCTACTCTTGTGTGTCATATATTAAATTGACATAGCTATTAATTAGGGGTGCACCGAATGGGAAATTCTTGGCCGAAACCGATACCGAAAATAGGAAACAGTTGGCCGAAAACCGAATGATTAATAGAAATATATATATATAATGTATACATTTTTTACCAATGTTGTTCAGCTACCTGATTATGGAAATAGACATGATTATGGCAAAACGTAACTTAAATAATAATCACTATTATGGGTCCATAAAACATTTATTCAGCACTTTTGAATGCATACAGTACATTTATATATGTCATGTATTATTGCTAAAAAACATTATATCGCAGTCTTAGTGTCGCCAACTCGTTTCTAATATGCAAAGACAACAAATGCGTCTATGATGTATTTTCGATCAGACGAGATCTCTCTCCCCCGTCTGTGTGCGAGGGGGCGGGGCAGTTTACACACACGCAGCTGCTACATGCAGCGGAGCACACTGCGGAGATGGCGGAGAGAACGCGCTCCGAGGTGTGGTTAAACTTTACCCGTCTCGATGTGGAGAATACTTGTTACCATAAGTGCAATAAGAGTTTAGCATGTAAGCACGAGCAATTTGTCTAAACATTTAGCAAAAGCGCACCGCATGCAGACGGAGGAATGTACCGGGTTCGACCGTCTTTCTAGCAGCTCTGTAGCTCCATCCACGAGTAACGTTTCCACGTCAGGTGTTCTGTATGCTAGCAGCAACACACGGAGTTAACTACATTATACAAACATGGGTTAATGATTAGAGAAAACTGAGTTATTTAGTTTGTTAAAATTTCAGCTATTCTGTTTACAGTCTGTCATCAGATTATTTAATACGATTTGTTAAAGGCTCAGGGCAATCTCGATGACAAAGGTCAATGTCCCCCCCCTGTGAGCCAGCCGCGAGCATGGTCGCCGCGTCTTTATTACGTCATCACAACAACACGTTAGGTTACCAACGTAAGCCTGTTCTGACATTCGGTGATATTTTTTCGGTGCTAAAACCCTTTCGGCCGAAAGCCGAAAGGGCCTTTTTAACCATTTTCGGCCGATACTTTTCGGTGGCCGAATATTCGGTGCATCCCTACTATTAATCAGCCACCACCTTGACTTTGAGCAATGAATCATGTCAACTCGTCATGGTGAATTGAAAGCGGGATTCATGACTCCTGTCTCAAACAACACCTTGACAGCTGGTCACTCCCTCACGCTGACACATTTTTCCAATGTAGCTGTAATAGGGCTCTGTCATTGGCTAGATATATACAGTATAGTCTGTTCCACACTTTGAATATACACTTATGTTCAGTGCTGCCCCTGGCCAACGTGTGGCCCCAAGCAAAGGTGTTTCATTATGTGTCGCGAGCGTTGACAGGGAGAGCACGCTCGTGAACTGTTAGTTCTCCGAAGCCTTGCAGTGGGTTAACTGCGGAGCGCATAATTGCGCCACATTTGTTCATTAGATGAATTGCACCGCATGTTGTAGGACAGGGGTGCCCAACCAGTCGATCGCGATCGACCGGTCGATCGCGGGGAGATTCCCAGTCGATCGCGAGATGTGTCTAAAAATAGAACAACAATATTCTGTTTTATCGTTAATGTCCTATAAAATAATCTTCCTGTGCCAGAATAATGCACATGAACGCATCAAAGCTTTGTGATTGGCCGGCGTGACCCCATGTGTCGGGGCGTGGCTAGTGGGCAGTGCACTAGTTCGCTAACGTTGTCCGTGTCAACAGGAGTGACAGTCCGCACACACACAAGACCGCAATTATGGCAGAAGCAAAACATATATAATTCTCACTCCGAGTGGGAGGATGATTATATTTGTATCTATTCCAATTCAAAGTCCATCTGTCTCATCTGCAATGCGAGCGTGGCTTTATCGAAGAAGGGTAATTTAGGAGCGGCATTTCAAAACAGTGCACAAACGCTACGAGACGGAATTCCCTCCTAATTCTGCCCTACGCTCCAAAAGGGGAGGGGCCTGAAAGGACAGCTAAATGCACAGCAGTCCATTTTCACCCGGCCCAACAAAAAGAGCAAGGCTGCTACCAGAGCATCTTATCGTGTCAGTCACGTTCTTGCGTAACACATGAAGTCTTTCAAAGACGGCGAAGTTGTGAAAGAAGCATTCATGGAGGCTGCGACGCGCTTTTTGGTGACACTAAAAATAACAGTAGCATTCAAAAAGGTTTTTGATATGATAAAAACTCAAGTTAGATACCGTTATTAATCAGCTGTAAGTTTGAGTTTGTTTGAACTTATTCATTATAATTATTGTACAAAATGGTATAAGAATGCAAACTTAAATTTATTATAGTCATCAATTCAGGTTAAGAAACTAGTGTTGCTTGCATCCTATTTTAAAAAGGCATTTCTTTTTATACTCTACTAAAATGCTACAAAAAAAGGGTTTGATTCTATTAATTTTGTCTTTTTTATTGCACTGTTGCAGCAGATTCCTGTAGCTTCAGATCTGAGTTGTCTTATTAGTAAGCCTAATTTATACTTTTGTATATAATGTCAAAGAAAGGGTTCAGAGTCTTTTCTTTTATCCCTGTATCATATGTGGCAGCACTGTTCAATGTTTCTTGAAAACATTACCCACTGTAGTATGTGACGTGTGAATAAACTCCAACTCTGTATCAACAACACTGTTGTGTAACTTCAGTTAAATACTTGTATGTGTGTAGATTAGAAAGAGGTAAGATAAAGGATCTGCAGTATTTTATGAAGTATTAATCGTACAAAGGTCAGTTTTATACAAGTAGAAGTGTGTATTTACCTGGTAGTAGGCTGTCAGTAATGGCTACGCCTCTCTATTTGGACTGGTAGATCTCTGCAGTCTGGCAACTTTAAAAGTAGCTCTCGGTTCAAAAAAGGTTGGGCACCCCTGTTGTAGGAGCAAACACAGTGGTGGTGGCTTAAAGCCCACCTCCACTCCGCGCCGTCCGTTAGATGAGCCTGGTCAGATTAATAAGAGAAGGAGTTCAAAACACCGGCATGATTTTAATGGTAAAAAAACACCTATACAAGTAACAGAGTACTCTGGTCTCCCAGTTCTACTGCTGTGCGATACAGATATCGGGACCAGCCAGTCAGAAACAGGGGGCATTTTGCATGAATAAACAACAGTATATATAGACATATTTGGGGCGGAGATGTGTGTCGGCTCTTCCGTCCCATTTTACTCCTAAGCGAATCAGAGAGTCCGTGGGGAGGAGTTGGGTCGGTTGCTCACTCCCCTAGGTGTTCTTACTGGTTGGATTCACTTTGGGTCGGGCCCAATACAGCAAATCAGAGTTCTGGGAAAAAGTATTTTTCTTCTGAACAGAGCATGAGGGCTTCGGAAGTAAACAAGGTCAGAGTCACTTTTTATCTTACACCTGGGTTCACTCCTTTACTTTCCCAAGGAATATTTCACACAAACTATTCCTTCCCAGACAATCACACATTGTATACAGATATATTGGTGCTTGAGAATATTGGCCCCAGAAAGAACCTTGAAAATAATATGTGTTTGTGCTGGTGGGAGGAGGTGTATGTGTGTGTGTGCTGGTATCTGGGTCAGTGAGTGTAGGTGAGCAAAGAATATATATAGGATTACTTTAAAACAGTCCCAAATAATACATGTTCACTTCAATACAGTTCAAGATAATACCTGTTTACTTTAATACAGTTTAGAACAATATCTGTTTACTTTAATGTGCGCATAAGATGAGGCCCCCTCCGCAAGATGAGGCCCCACGCAGTCTGCGTGACCTGCGTGAAGGGAGGGGCGGCCCTGCTTATGTTAATATTTATCTAAAAGTCCTTTTGCATACAGTATGCCGTTGCATTAAATTGTCTCCTTCAGTGATTGTTAAACAACAGCAATTGAGGTGAGCAGGGGTGATGCGGTTAACATATATGGTCCCACCCATAAAGTAAAGACGTAAAACATGACTTTATATAACGCTTGTAACACTGTGTCTACAGTAGTCGTTGGCTGCCTTGTTTGAATCTACTTCCTGTACTGGTTAAGAGGTTTTTTGTCCTGCTGCCATTGATGACACCCTGCTGCACCACTGTGAGCTTTTGAGAAGACATTCGATTGTACAGTCTGTCACGCCGGATATTCCTTTAATTTCCAGTATACCAGGATAATCCATGGTGTGAATGTGTTCCGCAAACATGCAGGTTTTCTCCAATAGCACCGTCTCCTACTGAGTGTGAACTCTGTGTGTGTGGGTGTATGCGTAGGCATGCGCAGCACTCCCACTGTCCTGTGTGTGATTTGATTTCCCCCCCCCCACTACAGGCAAAGGACCTGAGACGCTGTTTGCGGGGCAGAAGCTGAACGACAATGAGTGGCACACAGTGAAGGTGGTGCGCAGAGGCATGAACCTGCAGCTGTCTGTGGATAATGTCACAGTGGAAGGTTAGTTGTGTTCAGCACACCGAGGGATTCATTTAGGGTTAGACTCAATAACACATCCACCCACAGAAAGTTAACAGTTTTGCCATTTGTCATTAAAACGACTCATTTGAAAACGGGAAGTGACTAATTAGGATGATAATGACTCAGACATGGAGGAGGCATACGGTTTGTTATTTTATTATTAAACTGATATTAGGAAGAGTGGTAACATCGCTTAACAAATATATTACTGAGAATAAAAAAAAATGTTCTGCATTACATATAGGTGAGGAATACTTGTTATGGTCACAGTCTTGCATAATTGGACGTGTCATTTTAAGGCTGAAAATGGTAAACAGGTTAGTAGCAAACCCATAAAGATGTAAACAAGAGCTGAAATAATTATGCATATTAATTAAGTCCAGGCACCTAACTGAATTTAACAAGGGAGATATACTGTATACCGACAGTGAGTGAGCAGCTGTTTACAAAATATGGAGTTACATGTTCCTACATCTTATAAGAAAATAGCAAGAGAAAGGTCAAGACCAAGGTGGAATCACAGCGATCACAATATTGTGGCCTGAGGCGAAATTATGGCAGGTCAGAGGATGAAGTAAGACGTGAGAAAAAAGCTGCATGCTCGATAAAGGAAGAGAGTGGGCAAGCTGAGGCCAGAAACAAGCTCTGAATGGACAAGAATAAAGAAAAGAGCCCAGGGAGGACCTGCAGGGCTGACCAGGCTTCAGCAGGGAAGTCATTCTAATCTGCAGCTTGCCAAGTTCATTATTCTAAATCTACCAGTAAACACAATATCAATTGGTGCGTGTGGAGCAGTAATGCGATTTTCTTCAATGTTATGCTTCTTTAGTTTCCTTCACAACAGGTTAGAAAATATAGGCTTAACCTTTGTGAAGATATACAACAAAACCATATACTGCACAAAGACTGCTTTGGCAAGCAACCAGCATATATTTACCATCTAATCAGTATAATGAAGATATGCCGAAATGTGCGCAATTTCTTCTTACCACTAAATTACTATAGCAGGCATTTTAAATGCTAGTTCCTGAGTAGCTTTACAGTTAAATGCATTTGAGTATTTCCCTTACTATTTTAAGTTTGACTTGCAATTTCCCAAGAAGTCATACAATTTCCGTGTAACATATCATGCTTTGAAACGTACAAATGTGTCTTCTTAGAATACTTATAATCCTTTGCCATTTTAATTTGGGGTTAATACTGTTTTTTCTGTATCCCGCCCATTCAGGCAAGATGACTGGTGCCCACACACGTCTGGAGTTCCACAACATTGAGACGGGCATCATGACGGAGCGGCGCTTCATATCTGTGGTGCCCTCAAACTTCATTGGCCATCTCCAGGGCCTGACCTTCAACGGGTTGCCCTATTTAGACCAGTGCAAAAATGGCGACATCTCGTACTGTGAACTGAACGCCCGCTTTGGCATGCGCCACATCATTGCAGATCCGGTGACGTTTCGAACGAAAGGCAGCTACTTAGCGTTAGCCACTTTGCAAGCTTACGCCTCGATGCACCTCTTCTTTCAGTTTAAAACCACCACGCCCGACGGCCTGATGCTCTTCAACTCTGGAGACGGTAGTGACTTCATAGTCGTAGAACTGGTGAAAGGGTGAGTGCCATGTGATTTGAGTTAATTGAGGAAGTGCTAAGATTCACTGTTAATTATTTTATTTCCCAAAATCTCCTTTGCCTATTGTCACAAAAATACATTATTTCACCCTAATGTCCTTTGTGTTTGGCTTTAAAAATGATAGTTGATATTTTTTAAGTTATTTATTTTAGTTATTTGCGCGGAGAAAAAAAGAAAAAAGAAAAAAAAAAGGTTTTAACAACATGTTTATTTATTGACTTTTCATTCCGGTATAATCATTTTGTGCAAAGATGGCGCTGTTTGTCAGAGCACTTCATCCTTCTGGGATTTCATGAAGAACATCTCCAACGCCTGTGTGTATGGGAACGCCTCTGGTGCTGGTCCATTAACTGCCAGTGTTTCCCACAGATCTGAAATATACTTGGGGGGGTGGTGGTAGCGGGGGGGGGGGGGGGGGGGGGGGTTGAGGTGACGTGCAACAACATTAACATTAACGTCCCCAGCTGACACAGAAAGCGACTCAGGTTCTGGTCCAGGCTCTCGTCATCTCACGCCTAGACTACTGCAACTCCCTCCTGGCTGGTCTACCTGCATGTGCCATCCGACCTCTGCAGCTCATCCAGAATGCAGCGGCTCGTCTGGTCTTCAACCTTCCTAAATTCTCCCACACCACTCCGCTCCTCCGCTCCCTTCACTGGCTTCCGGTAACTGCTAGAATCCACTTCAAGACACTGGTACTTGCTTACCATGCTGCGAATGGATCTGGCCCTTCCTACATCCAGGACATGGTTAAACCGTACACCCCAGCGCGTGCACTACGCTCTGCATCAGCCAAACGACTCGTTGCGCCCTCGCTGCGAGGGGGACCAAAGTTCCCATCGGCGAAAACACGTGGGTTTGCTGTCCTGGCTCCAAGATGGTGGAATGAGCTCCCCATTGACATCAGGACGGCAGATAGCTTGCACATCTTCCGGCGCAAACTGAAAACTCATCTCTTTCGACTCCACTTCGAGCGTTAGAACTATTAACGAAGCACTTTTATACTAATAAAGGACTGGCTTACCTAAAGCCAGTTGAGTAGCACTTGAAATGTTTGGCTCTATGAAACCTGATGTACTTATATGATTCTGTTTTCTTCAAGGTTGTGTCTTCCTGGTCGAATGTACTTATTGTAAGTCGCTTTGGATAAAAGCGTCAGCTAAATGTAATGTAATGTAATTAACATTAACCTTTCTGTTGGTCGCTTGTTAGCAGACCCTTCACGCGATAGCAGAGCGAACAGGTACAGGCAGGGCCCATAATGATAGCCCTATAGTTTAAATCTACTACCCACACATGAACATATGGAAATGGGTTACTATTTTAAAAAATACATGTATTTATAAATGTATTTAGGAACCTATCCATGTGATTTTTAGTGGGGGTCGACCTCAAATCCTCTAGGGGGGTCCAGGGGCATGCCCCCCCGGTAAGATTTTATTTTTTATTTTGGAGTTAAATGCATCAATCTGGTGCATTTTGAGGGGAAAATAAAGAGACTAGATCTATGGAAACACCTATATGAAACAGAACTGTATACATTTCAATAATCATAAAATCATGGCCATAACCAATAACATACCTTTTCCAATATGAAAAAAACACTGAAACTTGTTTATTAATTTATTTTTGGTTCATTTATAGTTGTGAGTGTGTCTGTGCTCCTGAATCAGCCTCTCCTGTCTCCCTCCTCTCCCCCCTCTCCCCCTGCTCCTCTTTGAGGCAGCAGCAAAGACTAGTTTTCTCTCAACAAGTTTTAAAAGTGTATCTTACCTTTTTTCACCTAGTTAACTTTTGATTTATTTATTCATGGGTATTTTACTAATCACATTACATTTCATTTAGCTGACGCTTTTATCCAAAGCCACTTATAATGACCGATTACAGGGATATTCTCCCTGGAGTAACTAAGGGCTAAGTGCCTTACTCAAGGGCACACTTTGGTGTGGTGTTCCTGGCGGGATTTGAACTCACAGCCTTCCGATCTTCAGCCCACCTCACTATCCATTAGACCAATCACTACCCTCTCAAATGGAAATATGTGTTTACATAAATGGTGACCACACCGTTTGAGACCCACTGAGAACTTAGACTAAGTTAACTATCTAAACACTCAGAGAGTCCTTTACCTCACCTGAGCTGAGGTTATCCCGAGCTTGAATGACACACAGAGACCAATCAAGGGCTTTGATTTATGATCTGTATGACAGTGGCCATGTCAGCAGGCCACATCATGTGGACAGCCAGTCACCCTGTGTGAGGCAGGCCACTTAACAGGCCAGAAGGAGGCGAGATCAGTGCAAGGGAGCGAGGGATCATTGTCCACAAGTTAATCGATCGCAGTCGTGGTCACGGACGAATAAAAAAAAAATTATTTAAAAAAAAAAAAAAAAAAAACTAAATGGGTCGCGAAATATACTTGGGCGGCCGTTAATATACCTGGGCCGCCCGCCCAAGTATAGTCTATTTGTGGAAAACCCTGGAGTATGCTGGATGAAAGTGACTTTAGTGAAAGGATTTATGATCAGTTGCCTTCAAAGATGCACATATCACAGAGAAACAAAGTGGATAAATATCAAGTATTTTTTCTTTAACCAGTCTTTTGGGTGTGCTTTTTAAAAACCATTAAAGGTGGGGTAGGTAAGTTTGAGAAAACCGGCTTGAGATACACTTTTTGTTATATTCCATGAAATGCTCTTAACATCCTGATAGCAATGAATATCTTAAGAATCTTAAAAATCTTAAAGTAATCCATAAAAAAATGTCATCTATGGAAGCCGTAGCGCTGTAAAAAACACGACCAATCATGTTAGCCGGCCCGGCTAAAATAACTGGATGGCCTGTGCACAAACTTATCTCGTGCCCTCATTGGTCATGTGCGCGTTTGTGTGTGTTGGAGGAGGGGCTCTGTAAGGAAGTGGCAGATCTTTTCCGGCTGTGTATTTTCAAATTCTAGCGCACTAGAGCTGGTTTTCTCCAAAATTACCTACCCCACATTTAAGTGAGTGTTAATGAATAACTGTGAGCACAATTGATCATTCTGACTGCCAACACATTTAGTAAATGTTCTATAAGCTAGCACACACCACAAATAAACTGGTTAAAATTCAAAGCTGTTCATAATTATAGTATCAAAAAGAGGCTTTTGTTTGTGTATCTCTCTTCCTCCTGTGCACGGTTAAAACACAAAAGCCTGTGCTGCCTCTGTAGAACAAAGACAAGAGGCTACATAAAGGAATTGGAATCAAGGTTGAAAAAACCCATACCTTGAATGAAACAGTCACAATAGCACAAATACAAAGACAGCCATATGTGTGTGGAAGGGAGGAATTGTGCGTCATCTTCTGCCTTTGGGCATACGGCAGCTTTTTGACAAAACATGTTAATTTTTCAGATGTCAAATCAGTAAATAATCATAAACCCCCAAGCCTCATGAGCAACCATTTAAACTGGTAACATGCTCTTAGAGAATATTAGAGACAAAGTAGGAGAGCACTTCACTTCCTTATGCTAATGCAAATGGAGTGTTGTTGACTTTGACCAGTCATCAGGGTCTGTCATTGAAAGAAAACATGTTGTGATGAGAAAATACAGTTCTAATTCTAACTATTACGTTGATTGTCCCCATTTTTCACAAATGATGTTCATTCCCTTCTCTTCAAGAGCAGCTTTTGCATCAGATTTGCAGTGACACAAACACACTCTCACACTCCGATGTGTTTCTACACAGATTTGTCCACTACGTCTTTGATCTGGGCAATGGGCCGTCGCTGATGAAGGGCAACTCAGACAAGACCCTCAATGACAACCAGTGGCACAACGTGGTGGTGTCCCGGGACGCCAGCAATGTACATACCCTCAAGATCGACTCACGCACCGTTACACAGCACTCCAATGGAGCCCGCAACCTGGACCTCAAAGGTAAGAGGACACCTTCTAGTTATGAGTCTTTTAGAAATGTTTACTTGGAGTGTTTCTAAAAAAGTTTCTTCCTTGACAGAAACAGTCATCATCACACACATTATAACTGCATTTGCTGAAAAGACCAATAGCCCAATTCGTACTCTTCACGTTTAGCCATAAAGTGATGACTGTCTTTGATGGAAGCACCTTTACTTGTTTGACTTTCTCCCTCTTGAATCATCTTCATGTAATAGCCGTGGTAACAGAGCACTTAAATGCGAATAGGTGTCTCCAGTCTGCTGGATGCACAGGTATTTGTAATCTTCAGACCTCATATTTTCAGGTGTGTTATTTGGATGCTTGAAAGTGGTTGCCTGCAGTGCCGAAGAGTGATAGTAATGGAACAAAAAGTAGAAAGTCAAAAAGAAAGACATACAAGTGTGTGTCTGTAGCAATATTAAGATAAGCTCCGGATGATTCACTTTGATTCTGTCTTGTCCCAGAGTCTGGAGTGCTCTTGAGGCTGCTGGTTGTGTAAGACACATCAGAAGTCAGGCCCATCCCCCGGGGGCCACCGACGGATTGGAAGAGGCCAGAAGCTTTTTTGGGAAGACATGATTTATTGACAGACTTTTTACAGTTTTGTCCTTTGGGGGTATGCATAGTGCAATTAAAACGGATAATCATAACGGGGGGTTACAGAGAAGTGGCACTATGCCAGTGTCCTTACGTTGGGTTGCAGACAAGGCTACAGAACAAGCTTAAACCGGAGACATGGCGATTGAAGAGGGTACAATTAGATACAGCTGCAGTGAGACATGTAATTAGCAGCCTGGTCTCACTCCATGTCGTGGTGAAATGCAAATAAAGTGCGTCATACACAAGGCCAATTATGTTATTGCTGCTTAAGCTCTGTAGGAAGATATACAGCCCTCACATTGTGAGCTAATTTAACAAGACTGCAATGTCAATAGAAGTGTGAGTAATTACTAGATATAATGAATGCTTGCTTTCAACATTTTTAAATATAGCAAGCTGCAGCGTAATATGTCTTCATTAATCATTGGTGATGTATAGATAAAACAAGTGCACCCATGCACTGTTCATCATATATCTGCTCTGGTCATGTCCTACTTGAAATGTAGTAATTAATGGCTTTAATAAGGAGGTTTATTTGTGGACTGATTGCTTCTGTGTCAACTGTGGACAGGGCAGCCGTCAATCAACTATGAGCCTGTCAATGATGTTTTAAACAGAGCGTGCTGCTATCCTGTAGGTGTTTGACCGTGTTGTTTTAGGTTTACATCTTATCCAGGACCATTACCCCACATCATACTTGTCTTTAAACTTTTTCTTCTATATAAAAACATGATGAACTGCGTCTTTTCAAATCAAGCTGCTTCACAAAAACACCCCACACAGAAGATGTATGCTCCATAATTGTTCATTAAAGTTTACAAAATCTAAACATAATCTGTTTTCCCGTTATTAGGCCAGACAGTGTTTTTGTCATTCCTTCACAGCATGTGTGATTAATAGACAATTTTACCTCGTTATATAAAACAACACCAACCAAGCGTGTGCCAACAAGATCCCTCAGCTGTCCGCCACAGAACCATGCTGCGACAATGGCTCATTTGCATATTATATAGTACAGACACCCCATTGAATAATTTGTCTCACAAATGAAACAGAAGGCAGCCGTTTCAGTGCCCAACCACACAGAATACATGGCTGGGGATTACCCCTCCATCTGTGTTATTGATCTGAGAGACATCGGTGAGATACTCTTCAAGGGGTCTTGTTCTTTATCTCAGCAACTCTGCTCTTAAGGGTGTGGAGGCTGAGGCAGCTTGGTGCCAGTGGGAAAAGTAATAGTTGTACATCTTGCTTCAGAGGACTTTGGTGGGGAAGACATGTCTCTATCGTAAATTCCCTCGTCTAATTGGGCATTCAAACATTGCTCCGTGGTGCTGTGACCATTCCCTTGTAGAACTATCCAAAAACACTGCAGTGCCTTAAACTCTGCAGCAAAGCACCAGACCGTAACATGTGTTCATGAAAACCGTCTTGCAAACACACATGACTCTTTCAAACACAATGTTGTTCGCCTTTCCATCTTACAGTACATACGTGTACACAAACACAGTGTACTCTTTCCCGACGCTTTGGTAATCTAACACAGACCGAATTGCAAGTGACTCCTTACAATCATTTTGCTCTTTCGTACACCATTTCTGCCCACATTTTATAAGAAACCCAATTTCCAAGCTCTATCTGTGTGATTGCACGGAGAGAATGGGGACAATGGGTTTTGTGCACTCTGTCTTCCTTCTCTTTGTTTTTGGACAGGCAAAAAAAAACTTCAAGGCAGCCATCTTTGTCAGTTAAAGTACAGCGAGGGAACAACACTTAGTCCTGGAGGATAGCTATGAGTGGAGTTAGTAGGGTACTAAATAGTGTTATGAAACTCATCTTTGTGTGATTAATATTATGTTTCCGCAAAATCTGTATTATCATATTTGCTGTGATATTACAAAGTTTGGCATATTTGATAAAGTTCCTGTTGACTTTTTTTATATATGAGAACTGTGTTCTGCATGATCTCAAAACTGTGTCTGTCTTCAAACATACACTAACTCAGTGGTTCTCAAACTTGTCCTCTCATTCCCCGCTTTGAACAGGTGGGCCTTTTCAAGCCCCACTTGTTCCTCATCGCTCCAATAAAATGGTAGGCCAAGCTTAAAATTGTCAAATGTATCGTTCTATAACAGGGGTCTCCAACCTTTTTTAGGATGAGGGCTACTTTCAAAAAATAAAACAAGTCGTGAGCTACTTTTACTCCTCTTTTTTGTTTTTTTGCATTGTATATATTTAGCACATTTTAACATTATTATATGCTACCGTTAACCTTTGAGTGCTGTTTGGGTCTGTGGGACCCGTTTTCAGTGTTTACTCAAATAAAATGTATGCATTTTAATTATTCAAACTGCTTTATTTGGTGGTGGACGTCACATCCTCTAGGGGGGTCCGGGGGCATGCACCCCCAGAAAGATTTTTTTTAAATGTTGAAGTTAAATGCATCAATCTGGTGCACTTTGAGCTAGGGCTGCTCAATTAATCGTATTTTAATCGCAATTACGATTTTGGCTTGCAACGCTTATGAAAACAACATAATTTTTAAGTAGGTTTTTCAGTTGAATTATACTTAAAGTTCAGGGTAATCAACTGTTAAAAACATACTTTTCAAATGATTTTCTTCAATAAATTGATGTTTTTCAAAGTAAATGGATAATCGTTTTTAATAATCGTGATATCAATTATTGACCCAAATAATCGAGATTATGATTTTTGCCATAATCGAGCAGCCCTACTTTGAGCCCAACATGAATTGATGGATACAGCTCTCAACACTCAGATGAAAGGGAGCTGTATACTTTTCAATAATCCAAACATCTTTAGAATATGATCACAACAAATAATTTAAACTTGTTTATTCTTATCTTATGTTACCTAGTTAGCATTCTTTCTTTTATGTATGCATATTTGACTAATCCCTCCCCTTTTAAACTTGTTACTGTCCTATAGTACACATTGGAATGATTTATTACTTTATTTTATACAACTTTATTAAATAGATAAAGGTGTGCTCTCTCTCTCTCTCTCTCTCTCTCTCTCTCTCTCTCTCTCTCTCTCTCTCTCTCTCTCTCTCTCTCTCTCTCTCTCTCTCGCTCCACATTGCTTTTCTTCCCGACTGCAACGCTGTTGTGTGTGTCTGTGAGAGCCTTTCACGTGTCTATGAGATATTTTTACCAGTGGCGTGCCTGTCTCTGAGGGCCTAAGATATTCTACAAAATAATATTTAAAAACATTAAAACAAATTATATTTTTCTTTATATATTTTTTTTAAATATGTTTTTAGTAATATTTGTCATTAGTTTTACCAAAAATAACTTGATTAAATTGTATTTAAAATAACATTTCCAAAGAAATAAATCCTTTGAATCTGCCTATTCAGTTTCTGTTTGAATGTGAAGGGTTAAATGAAAGAAGCTCCTCTCTGCGAGTTACTGTGAAGAGAGGAGCTGATTGGACGTCCAGCTATGAATTCACAGAGGGCCCGCTATAGTAACTGAACGAGAGTAATGTCAAATGACAGTACAATTGACCAATCATATCTTCCCTCCAAATGGGTGGGCTTTATTATCGCGGACTTTATGACAAGTTCCGCCCGCTGTGAAACATTTCTTGTTTCCATAGCAACAACAACTGTCAACAGCGTAAACTCGCCTTCAAAATATAAGCATGCCAAATTACACTTAAGACATACAACTGCAACGAAAGTAACAAACACAATGCAATATCCTTTTCAATTTCAAAGAACACAAATTGGGTTATCTACAGGTGTTGTTTTGTGTGGTAGAGGGTCGCTTTCATTGATGCGTTTTGCACCCCAGGCCGTTGTTTTGATATTCCACCAGTGTGAACAAAAAAAAAAAAATAGAATTTTAATATATATATTTTTTAATTTTTTTTTTTTTTTTCGCGACCCACCTATCACATCTTGAGAAACGCCCCACACTTTGAGAAACGCTGCCCTACAGTGAGTGCAAATATGTTTTACGTGTCATTTGGATATGGAAAGTGAGACTCAGCAGATGTGACCACAGCCTGAGTTCAAGCTTACTCAAACACAGTGTTACGCTTCAAATGAATTGGAGGCAGAGAGTGTTCCTTCACCAGCATAGTACATCATTACCAAACTAGGACTGCTTGCTCGGGTCAATATGTTCTCATTCCAGTCAGAACATATTCCTTTGGTCACCTTATTGCTTACAGGGTAGAACAGGTGGAGCTTATTCACACAGACACATTATAAAGACTATATCAAACATTTCTTAAGCTCAGATAAGCTTGCCAAACTAAAACTAATAGGCACCTGCTAAGTCATCACATTTTTCCTTAACTCTTGCTTTTCATTGAATCATCTATGATGTCCATATCTAGTCATATTCAGC